TCTTAATTGCTATTCATGTTCTTTGTCCAAATGTCATAATTCCAAAACTCTTTGTTCAAATATCACCTCCTTATTTAGGCCTTCTTAACCATCCTATTTTAAATGGGACACTCTTCCCCCTTCACCACCTGCAATTTCAGTACTTCATTTCCCCTTCCCTATTCTATTTTTCTCCATAACATTTATCACCATCTGACACAGCATGTGTTTTATTTATTTATCTCCCTTCTCCCCTGCCTGGCTCCCTTGCTCCCACGAACACACCATGAGAGCAAGGATTTTTGTCTGTTTTGTTTGATCTTATATCCCCAGCATCTAGAATAGGGCCTGGAAAGTGGAGGTCACTCAAATACTTGGTGAGAATGATTTTAAAAAATGAATGAATGAATGCTATGATAACCACGCCCTGCTTCCTTCTTCTAAGCTCATCAATCAGAAAACTCACTTCTTCCATGATGCATGCTCTAGCAGAAACCCCTCCATATGGAAATCTGAGGATTGGGAAATAAGTGTTCCCCTAAAAAGTGATGGGGAAAAATATAAAGACCTATTACAGAACATCTCCTCAAATAAAACCAGCACTGGCTTTTAAGTCCAAGGAAGTGAAGGAAAGATTGGCTTCATGCAAAATCTTCCAGGTGAAGAACAAAACTCAGAGTTTTAAGATGAACTCAGGAAAAGAAACAAAATGAGACCATCTGTGTTAGGAAGGAGGAAATATCTATGCAAAATCTCATCCCTAAGCAACTCATCTTTGGTCCTTAAGACTAGGGTAAAGGAATAGAAAGTAATACTACTTAGATGAAAGAACAAAATTCCCAGGTCTTGAAGACTAAGACATGAAATGATAGTATTTATGATAAGAAAGAAGAAAAAGAAATAAATGGGATTTTATGAATTCGGTAAGCAAAAAGAAGCTTTGTATACCTAGCTTTTGGGTAAATTTCCAAGAGCCTTTAGCTCTTTAAGGACAAGCTCTTGGAAGGAAAACAAAAGAAAAGAAAGGAGAGTGAATGAAAATATTTGTGATGGCAAAGGAAGAGTAGATTTAGTTGCCTTGCAACCTCTGCCTGGTTTGTGGCTACACAGCCTTTCAGCTCTGCCAGTATCATTGCTTCTCTCAAAACCTGAAATAACATCCTAGAGATGAATTAAACACCACATCAAGTACTATGTCATATTAAACCCCAGGTTGACAGATGAAGCTTGCTGCCAAACCCAGAAAGCTGGCCAGAAGTAAATGGTGACTTGGTTTTAGTAGATTATCTTAGAGGCAAACTTTAATGAAAAATAAGGAAGAAATAATTTTTAGGTCAAATAAATAAGAAATAATTTTTAGGCTGAATATAATGCATAGCATGATGTCAATGCGCTGCAAATAAGGAAAGCTGAATGTGTTAATTGTACAGGAATGAAAATAATGGATAGTATTTAATATAATTGTGTTACGGAGGACCTATTTTATATAGTATATTTTGTGTGGTGGCTGTTTACCTTCCCCACACGACAGGTCAATACGGAGGGACGGGTTTATTTATATACAGTGCTGGGCTGTTGACAAGGGCAATGGTTACCCAGATCTCATGGCATCAGTTGGGGTGGGAGAGAGCCAGGGAGCCTCTCGGAGTCTGTGTGTGGTTTGGTCCAGTCCTCTGATGGATGAGAGCTGACCGAGGCTGCAGGAAGCCTGGCCGCTTGGCAGGGTAGGTATGCGTCAGGCTGGCTACAGGTGACTGTTTCATCTGCGTCAAGCTCACAGGAAAAGGGATATGAGTTCTGAGAGGTTTAATAGTTTGCATAGTAAGAGGGAAATAAACAACACACATATTTTCTGTCTTGGCAGAACAGAAAAGCAGGCAAAAAGGCAGAATTTGTGCACACATTGTGCTTGAGAGTCGAAGAATTAGTAACTTAACCACTATGACCTCTTTCTGGGAACTGCTTTGTCTCCATTCTTGCTTTCCTCCAGTTTATTCTCTGCATTGCAGCCAACCAGATCATATCACATTGTGATTAAAATCCTTCAATGTCAAGGCCTTCAAGGAATCCACATGACCTGGCTCCTGTCACCTCTCACTCACCACCAGCTCTTTGCAACTAGTGTCTAGGCAACCTGGTTTCCTTCAGAGAACTGAGTTCTCTGCTGACTCAACCTTCACACGTGCTGTTCTTCAGCCTTTACACAGCCAGCTTCTATTCCTTCTCCAGATCTCAGTTTCTCAGAGAGCCGTTTCCTTGCCCCCAACCTAATCCATGGTTTCACTGTAATTCTCTTTTCTTTCATACTTCTTAGCACCCTTTGCAATGATACTTCATTACTTGCTTAATGTCCATCTTCTCCATTTGATTGCAAGGCCTTTGAAAGCAAGGATCCTGCTGGTTTTCTTCACTATTTTAGATCCAGCTCTGCTGAGAGAATTGGCCAAGCAGGATACAGCCAGTGGACTCCAGGAGCAGGGCCCTTGGTATCAAGGGTCAATGCTTCTCATTCGCGATTATAATGCTTCATGGAGATTTAGAGATGAGATGACTAGAGGTGATTATCAGAAAAGCTGAGTCCTCCTATCCAGAGGCATGTGGTGAAGTAACAGCCATGAGGAGTGTGTAAACAGCACTAAGGGATGAACCTGTGGAGGAACTGTGTTCCCTGGCCATGCAACCTGGTGCTTGGCCCATAGCACAGTTATGACGAGGAGCAGTGAAAGAGCTTGAGAACATTTGGATTACATGGATCAAGGAAGTGAACTTAAGAAAAAACAGTTGTACTGATCATAAAAATATCCCTTCCCTTTTAAAGGCTTTTTAAAAAATTGATTTCATTCTTCCCCATAATGTGATAGTCATTTATTCATGAATGCACGTTTACCCAAAAAGAATGTGCTGTGTATTGTATAGGGCTAAAAAAGATACAAAATTTCACTTCTGTCCTTTAAGAACTCAACATTTAGTGTGGCAGTTTTAATGTGGTAGATGTATATTCAGATCATTACAACACAGAACTGCCTGTGATAAATACTCTAAGAAGGGCATGAAACTGAAGTGCTATAGATGTCACTTATATAACCAACAGTACCCTAACTTATTGATTTGTAGAGTATTAGTTAGGACTTAACCAGTGAGCTAGAAGTGTGGAACTGAAAAGACTCAACCAGCAGTCTAGTCTAAATACTAACAAACCAATACTTCATAAGTCCTGACCAATCAGGACAGGCCTGACCAGACAGCTAGGACTCCCAACCAATTAGAACAAAGGTTGGCCAAATATTAGCTACCTTTAACACTGAATACCTGTCATGAATCAGGTATGGTCTTAAGGAGGTTTCTAGAGTGGTCTTAAGGGGGTTTCTAGAGTGGTTAAAAGTGAGGCAGGGGTTACAGATAGTTTTCCATTTTTAGGCTAAATCAAGTTGATAGGTAGCTATCCCTAGATAGCTAAGAATTCTAAAGCTGTGTGTAGGCTCCCTGTGAAAGAGTGTGGTGACTGATGTGTGCCATTGTGAAGAAAGGACAAACTGTAGCCCATGTGCCATGGATTTGATATCCTTGTTGTGATTACAAAGCAGACAAACCTGAATTCAAACCCTCCTTCAGGCACACAGGAACCGGGCAACCCTGGGCAAGTGGCATCATCTACCTAGCTTATACATCCTGCCTGGAAGATGAGGGTAGTAATGTCCACAAAATAGGACTGGTGCATTAAGGACTGGTGCAAATAGGACTCCAGCATTGAGGAAGATGATTTTGGAGGGACAACTTGGAGAACTTTGTGTGAGAATTCCATTGTATGAAGTGGCCATGGTCATGAAGGAATTCCACCCACTGTAGGATGGAGGGAGATTCCAGCCTCATGTTGAGGCTCATGGCAGCAGGAGGCAGGAAAGGACAGAGGAGAGGGCTTAGAGGCAGAGCAGATCCAAGTGGGTCCTGGTGGAGGAAGACCCAGGAATGAGTGAGAAGCAGAGACCTGGGAGAAGAGATGTGTCTAATGGATTTTTTTTGGTGAAATGCAGTGTGGTCTGTGACTCCCTGTCTCCACCCCTTTGACGCTCCTGGAAAACTACAAGTCACAATATGATTGGTTCACTGGATTTTTTTCCTGAAAGAGGGTGAAGGGCCTTATTTTGGAGCAAGGCTGACAAGGGTCCAAACAGTCAATGTCTTCTCCTGTAGGTGGTAAGTGCCCAGTAAATGGCAGCTATTACCGTCCCCATTACTACAAGGACTTTGGTAGACGTATGAATGAGCTATGATGAGAACCTAGAGAAGGAGAGCTAAATTGTCCTGGGTGGGTCTGTCCTTAATTACACTGTCATCCTTAAACATATGTGCCAGCTAGAGACTTGTTAAGAGAAAGCCGTTGTTCAAATCTTAGGGCCCAGAAAGCATTTCATAGTCTAGTTCTATAGGCTTGAAGTCTGTATGAACCTAAGCTGGATGAGCCCTGTGTTTTATTAAGGACACCCTGGGAATACAAACCTATTTAGTCTACATGATAAGCTGTGCAACTCCTGGTCATAGACTCAGTTCTCTGTGCTTTTCTTTGCTGTTCTCAGTCTCCCTGCTCTCTTTGCTATTGCCTTCAGTATTCTTTTTCCCTTTTCTGATCTTATAGTTATTATTGCTTCCTGACTCTGTCTTTGGCACCAGGGTAGCAGAGGGTACTACTTTGAACCTGAGAGGGGTCTGCCAGTAGCCGACTTGTAGGTCAGCTGCCAGGTGTAGGAAGGGCCTCCAGGAATTTATCTGTGGAGAGACTGAGGAGCCTCCTGGGAGAGCTTTACCTTACACACAGTGGAAAGTTTTAAATCAGGACAAGCTCAGCTCAGGAACAAAGCTTGAGTCTCTAGAGGAGAACAATTCTAAGTAGATCAGTACCTGAACTGCACCCCCGCCAGCAACATCAAAAACTAGGATCTGTATCCTATAAAGATACGGGGTTACTAGTGTAGCAGAAACTAGCTAGAAGCTCGCCAAACTTTCTTTTTCTTCCTGGCACACAGATTCTGTCCAAGTTCTGGCCAAATCAGTATGGGCAGAAGTCACATCTACCACCTCCAGGCCTGGCCCTTTAAACTTCTTGCATGATCTGGGGCTGAAGATAACCAGCCGAGAACTCCAAGGCCCTAAGGACGATGAAGCGCCAGATGGGAGGTACCTGAGCCCTCCATTGACTGGGAGGAACAGAACCCCAGTGCTGCCGCTCCCCACCCTCACCTTGACTGTGACTTGAGCAGAAATCAAACTCTTATTCTTAAGAAACAATGTAACTGTAAGGTTGTCTGTTATAGTAATAGACCTGCCCCAGCTGACTCACTAAGTAAAAACGAAAGCTCTGTTTAATGAAAAACTACATTTGACCTTGAAGAATAGGCAGCCTGGTGAAGGGATTTTTCTAAAAAGGTGTAACATAACATAAAAAGAAGACAAGAAGCAGTCTTCCCGAACTGCCACTGCACCGAGCAGCTTTGACATTTAACAGCACTTAACTATCAAGTGGCATTGACTGGTGGAGAATACAGGAAGCAGCAGCAGTTTTTGAAGGGAGGAGGAAATGGCCGTAAGGCCTGGCAGTCTTAACGGTACCAAGTGGGAGGGGTGGCAGCTGCTGGTGGACACGGCACTCCTGGTTCCAGGAAGAAACAGTGAAGGCTAGTGGAAGGGTCAGGACTAACAGAAGTGGTCATAGTGTCCGGGGAATGTTCAGTATTAGACAACCAGATTTGATCATGAGTCCATGTAGGACGCTTAGTGATTTTGAGCAATACTTGGGATATCTCAAAGGTAACAGAACCAGCAAACATGGATTCCTTCTACAAGGTATTGGAAACTTGGAAGACTGGGGAAGAGTACTCCCACTGCAGACCAATGCAGGAAGAAAAGGAGGCTCATGGGGCTTCAGCTGTGCTTTTTGGAAACAGTATTTCTTCTCTTCACAGCAGGCTGGGTAGTCAGGCAGTTTGGGCCATCCACAGGCATACCTCCCCAGGCCCCCTGTGTCACTTCTCGGGGTGGCAAGCTAAGTTGGGAAGTCAGGAAGCCCTGGGCATTTGTATTTTCCACAGTGGCCTCAGTGGGTATCTGGGTGAAGGCTCTCACATTTGG